TGCTGCACGCTAGTTTGGTTGGGGCCATTCTCTAATGAAATCCAATATATAGATCCTGCATGCACCAGTATTGCTTATTGCGGCGCTAGCTAATCGCCCTCGCATTGTTTAGGATCGAACGCACAACATTAGCGTCACAGGCGTACGTCGTGTGCCGACTGTACTTTGGTAGCCCACTTATGCTTGTACTTATATTACTGACAAATCACATTATATTGGCCCTGTTTATAATCCGTCATTTTCAGCTTGTTTTTTTAGCTGGAACAGTATTTTTCTCTCACAGAAAATCAGTCGGAACAGTGTTTTGACTTTTTTTTCAGCGAAGCGAACGGGGCCGAGCCGGGGGACGAGCATTCTGACGAGGCGTTACATCACTAGTCTCTCATGGCGATGCTCATGCTCTCAACGCATAACATCGATGGACTTGGGTAGTGATATATGCTTTCACACATGAGATATGCATCGATCGTCAAAGTACGTACCATGTAGCAGCCAGCAACGGTAGTACATACGTTTGCTGATGAAGAGTGCAATGAGTTGATCAACACCGTTAGGCCCCGTTCGGCTTACCCCATACTCGACTTGTTCGACTTTTTTTTTAGTCGAAACAATATTTTTCTCTCACAACAATTCAGTCAGAACAGTGTTTTTCAGCCAGTTTCAGCTAAAATTCTGCTAGCCGAACGGGGCCTGTCAAGTAGTACTAGTAGTTAGTATTATCGTACATGTAGTTATTAGAGCAGGATAGACCTGATGAGCAAAGATGGAGATGGATGGATCGGAGAGCAACCAGCGACCGACCGACTCCAGCAGAGGAATAAATTTGTCTATTTCCATGGATCGGGCCGGCCGGGGGCCTGTCCACAACCTGGTGTTTAGAGCAGTGTCCGGGGGAAAAAGCGCATGCAGCCAGTGACCGATCGTCTTCAGCCAACGTGCCTGATTGGGACGGCCAGTAGTGATGGCCCGCCGCGATTGCGTGCGTGCGTGCGTGCGCGCGCGCATGGCAGCGTGCGCTGAGCGAGCATCTGGACGGACGTTCGCTAACCTCCCCGTGCATGCCTTTTGTCGTCCCACGGAAACGCCCGGCGAACCGCAGCCGCATGTCCAGGCAACCAGCTAGCTGCCTGCAGGGCTACAGCCTGCTAAAAGCCTAAAACCATGCATGCCCCGATCCGTTCCCACTGTCGTGTAGCATGCAGCGCGTCGTCTCGTCGCTTGATGATGGTGACCGCGCCCGCGCTCGACCGGGCGCGCGCGCGGGCGTCTTTACTTGCGGTTGCACCGTCGCGGTAGCGGGCCGGCCGCTGGACGCCTTTACATGTGCGCGCGCGCGGAACACGGGCGCGCCGCGGCGCGCCGCCGCCCCCCTCGCGAATCGCGCCCCCACCCAGGCCTCCTCCGTACATGCGGCGCCAGCGGAGAGCGAGCGACTTCGTCCGCCCGTCCGCGCGGGTCGTCGCGCGCGGCGTCGACCGAGCACCACACCAAACACCATCCAGCAGCAGCAGCTAGCGCGCTCCACAGCCACATGTATTGTGCCGCTCCGCTCGTTTCCCACGTCGGGGCGGGACGGGCGTACGACGTCTCACCTCAACCTCATGGAGTCATCATGCATGGACACGGCCAACAGTGCCGCTGCCAGCGCGCTCTCTCTACTGGCACTGGCTGCTCTGCTGCGGCCGGCTGGCCCAGTCGCGTGACGTCCACGCCATCATCGCATTTATGCCGGTAGGTCGCGCTTGCCTTTCGCGCCCCGTGCATGTGCCTGTCGGGGCAGAGGAGCATCGTAAGCATGCGCCTCGTTGGTTGGTTTTATGATGCATAAGCGCACGACCGAAAAAGATCGTTGGTTTGGTTTGGTATGGTAAAAAATACTGTTCGTTGATGATAAGTTATGCGATAAAGCGTCGATCAAGCGAACAGACTGATGGTTAGCAAACCAACTAATGCAGGCTGAATCCATCGATCGATCGATCAGACTTTGCTCACATTCTCATCTCTGTAATTAAGCTACCTCTAATCTAATCGATAAAAAGGCTATCACTCCCGACAGCTGAGCTGACAGTAGTCGAGAGAGACAGACGGGCAAATATACGGGACTGATCGATAAACAAACGTCGTCGTAACGCATGCATGCACCAGCACGAAAACATGGCGCGTGCGCGAGCGCAGGCCGTGCATTCGGGGCCGGCCGCCGTGTACAGGGGTTCCTGCAGCTACACGACACTGTCGAATTGCCTGGGGGGCAAGTGCTTTCACTCTTGAACCTGCAGCAACCACCCCTCTCCACGCGCATTGAATCGGCCACGAGGATGCACAGCACAGGTGGGCTTGAGTCCGTACTCCTATACAGACACCTTGGCCGCCTTGCATACGTACGTACGATCTAAAACCGGTAGGTAACGCTATGCTTGCGCTGTGTTTTGGAGTCAATACTGCGAGGTGTGCATACATCATTGAAACAAGTTCGATCATACTGGACTCCAAAACACTAGTATACTTCATTGAAGGAGCGTATATGCATGCATCAAGCTAAGGGGTCCGTCCGGGGTCCCATGCACATTAGCTTCTGATGAAGCTCAACTGCTGTTAGACCCATGAGCGATGCCCCGACTGAAACTGCAGCCAAAAGCAAACTTCCAACTCCGATGGACATTATTAGTTTCGGCATGCATGGGTCTACAACATTGAAAGAGTCAAAGTCCCCATTTGACTTCTTGTCGCTGAGTCTGAGAAGCCACACTTTCCAACTTTATTTTAAAAAAAATCTTTAATACTCTAACTTTTAAAACCGGACAAATTAGCCCCTACATTAGTCAAAAGTGTTTGTTTTAGCCATGCCGTCCTTTTTCTGCCCAAAATCAAATCCACAAACACTTGATAAAGTTTTTTAAACTATGAAAAGTATCTTTGGGCCTCTAAAAAATCGAGGAAAAAAATCTAGAGATATACTGGGATACAAGAAACCCCAATGAAAATATATCTCAAAGAATTGATTTAGACTTAGAATAATGGAAAAAACTATCCAGAAAAATATAAAAACTTCATTAAACATCCTAATCAATGTCTAAACACATGGTGAAAACTTTCCACAATAAAAACACAGGTTGCAATCAACATGAATGCAACCAAGATTATTGTGTGTTGCATTTATGCTAGTTGCCTCTCGTTTTTTTTGGTGTAAAGCCTTTCAAAATGTATTTAGAGATCGATTTGAATGTTTTGAATATTTTCTAGTTTTTATGGATATTTTTCAATTTTATAAGCTTAAACTGATTTTTGAACGCTTTCAAAGATAATTTCATGAGATCTGTATATTTTATTTGGGTGTCTCTTGTCCTAATATATATCTCTAATATTTTTCTCAGATTTTTTGGAGACCTGAAGATATTTTTTGTGGTACCTGTCTAGTTTTTATCGATCTTCTTTTAACTAATAAGAAAGGAAGACGTTGATAAAAACCGCCCTCAAAAACACTTTTAGTTGTTGGGGTGTATGAAAAATGGCCCATGTGCATGATCTGATTAATTATGGTTCCGGTGATTTTGATGACAACACAACCACTAAGGCTAACATTGTTTTAAGATGCATTCGCAGGTTTTCTAAAGGTTCTAGGGATGCAAGAAATCAAAAGGAAAATAAGATATTAAAGCCGGAGAGGATTGAATTGGACTTGTCTCATGACTTTCGCTTCGTTCGCTTGTCTTAAATTTGGCTTGTTTGGCTTATTTTTTCAACCGGAACAGTATTTTTCTCTCACAACAATTCAGCTGGAACAATGTTTTTCAGCCACTCTACCAAACGAGCCCGTAGCTCAACCGTTCTAACAGCACAAAGAGAAAGTTTAGGAACACAATTTACTGCCCATATGTGGAGTACTAGAAAAGCCTGGTGAGGCGTTGTTTGGGCTTTATACTTGCCTTTTAAAATGGACCAGGCCAAACATGTAGGCGCACCCATCATAATCCAGATCCAGAAAAAAAGAAAAGGCTCTGATGAGAGGACGCGGATGGGCCGGACCGTGTTCCATAAATGGAGCGACGGGCCAGTGCTGGCGAAAAGCGGACACAACCCAAGCGAAAGGCGCGCTGTCCGGTGTGTGTGTGTGTGTCGTGCCAGCCACGCGCACGGGCGCCGGGCAGCGACGCCGTCCAAGGATGCCTGTCGCTTGTCGCGCCAGATCACCGCAGGCGGACGCGGTGCGGCCAAGCGAACGGCTGCAGTTGGACGGGCAAACGGTGCGGGGCGCGGGCAGGCCAGAGAACGGTTGCGGCGTGCGGTCGGCACGCAGCGTGTCTGGACAGCAGGGTGAACTCCCCCTTTCCTGTTGCTTCGTGGGCACGCGGAAGCTGCCCAAGCGGGTTCAGGGTTCAGATGACGGATTGGATAAATCGGCATGAGGACTTGGCTGCCGCCGTCGATAAGGTCCATTGACCACTGGGATATCGTAAAGGCGGCAAGTCAATCGTCTCTGCAGCCTGAATGCGATCCGGTATAAGTGTTAAACTAATAGCAGCTTGCAGGGGACATGCGCAATTGTTTAGGGTTTTCAGATCTTCAGGATCGGTGGCTCAGAGGTATGTATGTGGTGACTGAGTGACTGACTGAAGCAGGACGAGGAGAACAAATTTGCAGAGAACTTGATCGCGATACGTTCCAGCCCATTTGACCTGTGGAACCTAGCTAGACAGCGCAATATACGTATATATCATCTCACTCACGACACCTTGCTGCTAGTTCATCATCAGGCTGGAAGATAACAAATAAAATGACAGATAATTTACCATCATAAACTAACTGAATTCACGTACGTCCAAATACTTTGTGAGTTGCTAGACTGACAGATCAATTTGAATTCTTGACCTTACAACAATGTCTTGGACACCAGCAGCCATGGTACAAAGGAATCCCTTTCCTTTTCTCCAAAAACAATATGGAAAAAAAAATCACAAATAGTGTACAGCACACTTCAACACAAACACCATCTAGTCTAGGATTTAAGCATGATGCATCGCTGGTTCTTGCTCCAGCACGATGGCCGCGTGGTTCGCTGCTTCTGCAAAAATTAAGGGGAGGCGTACGTCAGAAATGCATGGCTCTCTATCAATCGGGAACGACTGACTGAATTGACCACGTGTGCACGTACCGTCGCCGCCGCCACCGGCGGCGAGGCCCTTGTCGTGGCGCTCGACGCACTGGAGGATGTACTTGAAGGCCTCGGTCTCGCAGGGGATGGCGAGCGCGCCTTGGTGCCGGAACCCGAACTCCTCCTCGGCCTTCTCCAGCAGGAGCCGGAACACGGGGTGCGCCAGGTAGCTGGTCGGGATCACGAACCGCCGCTGCTCGGGCCCGACGTACACGGGGCAGTACCCTCGCGGGACGTCCGGCGGCGGCTCCGGGCTGTGGCAGCTCTCGTCGTCCGACAACAACACCGAGTCCGCCGTCTCCGTGCGCCGCAGCCGCCGCAGCACGAACGGCGGGATCGCCGACGCCGACGCCACCGCCTCCTGCGCCGGCACGCCGCAGCCGCCGGCATGGCCCTCCTCCTCCTCCTCGTCCCCGTCGTCCTCACGCTGTTGCTGCTTCGCGCCCAGCGCCATGAAATGCCACTTGTGCAGCAGCTCTCGCAGCCGCACGATCTGCTTGATGCCCGTCGCCGCCGCCTTCGCGCCGTCGTCGCCCATGGCACACGCGCACGCACGCACGGACAGTCACCGTACACCTTCGCGGAGATGGTGTCTTGGATCTCGAAAGAGCTTGATGATGAGAACTTTGAGACGAAACAAGAGAAAGGCCGGGATGGAGAGAGTCTGGCATGCAGGAGGTAGGATGATTATATAATCACGTCGTACTCGTTCGTACTCCATCGATCAGGGGGTAACATGCATGGCTAAATAAACAAAACAAAAAAAGATTCCTTCGCCGCGGGTTGTTTTTAAACGGTTGATTAGCTAATCGCCGGCGTGTGGCTCAAGAATGCATGCCAGAGTTTATCTGATGATCCATCCGGCTAAGCTTGTTCAAACTTTTTCTGGTGGCAAACTGGCGATGACAGAGGAAAATAGTCATTAGTACTACACTAGTGGTGCCTAGCAAGCTAAGCAGGAATAATTAATTAGCGCACGTTACAGAAACAGCACTGTACTAATTTTCTGAACTGATGAAAATACCATGCAGCTTTTTTTCTGAAAATCTTTAGATGTTTAAATTTCTGAACTTTTTATATAGAAGTATTTACTTAATTTTCTGAACAGGAACAGCAAAAGCTGGATGTGTGCTGGCAATATCTCGGACGAACAAATTCCGCGGTTCATACACTGTGCACAAGAACGTGGCAGCATAATTGCGTTGGATCGATGGCAGGGCCTAGGACACGGTCTCATGCCGGGCCGGTGAGTACCTACTTAGTAAAATATATTAAAAGGGAATTTTTCCTGTACGAATGTTTAATCAAAACAACTAATGTTCATTTTCACGACCCGACATGGCAGGAACAAGACCCCGGAAATATTGTACGCTGCCCTCACCTCGATCTTGTACAATTTTTATGCAATTACAAAAGTAACAAATGACTTGGGGAGTTGGGGTTGCAGATTAATTAGTTGAGAATGATAGAGTATATTCCTCTTTACATACATCGCTTAACGCGCCAAACGACCATTAAAACGTCCGCAGTGAAAACCATAAAATAGTCATGTGATGCTGTGACACATCCATAAATTTGCTGAGTTGATGTGTTAATTATGAAGGAGAGTTTTATCTAGATGAAACCTGACGTGATAATCTTGGAAAAACTATGTCATGAAATTCTTCACTGGCACTGACCTAACTATTTCTCGTCATTTCAAAATAAGTATATTTCTAGCATTTAAAATTAGTCCCAAAATAAGTATACATATAGATATGGTATCTTTCGTTTTACTTTCTCTACTTCTAAAGTACAATCATCACATGCTGAAATAGGTTATTCGTAAATATGTAGTAATTTCTAAGTAACATTCACCTTTAAGGATTTTAAAGGTACACTTATTTCAAGACAGAGGAGAGTACTCGTAAACCCTGATCGACCGTTCTCATGTCTTGTTCTGTAGCAAACAGTCCTAGCTAATCTGTAACACTGTATTAAACAATACTAACCCAGTAATCCACCCTGTAGTATGGATCGGCGTTACTCTGAATGCGGCTCACTTTTGTGCTTGATAAATTACTCCGCAAGTCACCTACGTGTTGGTCGATCGCGCTAGATCTTCTCCAGATAAGGCCAGAGGCATCCGGGCATCGCTTGGAAAGCGGGCCGCGGCAACGTGCGAGCACATGATCGTCGACGGACGGACTCGTTACCCCTATTATTATCCCCTACACGGCCGGCCGGGGAAGCGTACAACGCGTACTACGCGAGGCCCGGCCTCCTCCTCCGCCCAGCAGGTATCACATGAGGCGTCGACGCGTCGTCCATCGGCATGCTGCCTCGTACGCCGGCCGCATGCGTGCCACCGGATCGGAGGAGACGCGACCAAGATCCATCGACCTGCCACCTGCGCTGCGCTGCGGCGTGCCAAAAGCCCCGTCAGGCGAAAAGGTACAGCCATGCCCATGCGACGGAGCTACCAAGTTACCAACCTAGGCATGCATGCCTGCAGATCATTGTCAAAAGCTGAGGTCGGTGTGTGGTGAACTGGTGATTGGTACAGGCCGGCTCCTTCCTTTCAGTGTTGATTATTCGAAGCTTTTTCTAGATAACCGTCTCTAAAGCTTATTAAGTTATTATTACTATTAGCTTTATTATTTACTTCTTCCAAGCAGTTCTGGGAGCTAGCCGAGCTACAAGCTGCCTTTTTTGTGTAGTCTGACATCTTCTGTCGAGTGTCGATCTGTGTTGATGCCAGATTCCTAAAGGGAAACCTGCATACCTGGAGTGTGCAAAAGGTGACCACCGACTCTATAGCAGCCGTTGAAATGTTTTATGCCTTTCGTTCCCATCATGATGATCGAGTCCGTGTGGCTTTGGAGGAAAGGAATATGCATTGCGTTCGGACAGTCGTGAAGCGACGCCGCCGGTCCGTACCTTACCTACAGCTGTGCCTATTACGCAGCGAAGGGGAATAAAGGATGAATGGCCATGCCCGGGCGTGAGCGGGATAAGCTAAATTAGTAACCATCCATACAATGCTGCCAGCTGCGAGTGATCCAGACGGATCCAGACGTTGTTAGATGGGGAAACTGAAATTCACCTTCGTTTGGTTCACCAATTGAGCTGCATCTGTTATGTATTGTTATTACTTGGGCCTTAGACCGACCCAAAGAGAAAACCTTAGCCCATGGATAGTGCCATCACGGGCCAGGTCCCTACAGGTCCACAGGAAACGCGGCCACGCGGAGCACGCAAAGGGATTACTCGTGGCTTTCTGCCGCATCGCTGAACTGGATTCCCTTTATCCAGCATCCACCTCCATAATAATCTGACGAAACAGGCAAACGGCGAACCTGACGAGCATCCAATCTGCAGGAGGCACAAACACGAGAGCGCCTAAAGATCTCTCCATCGCACATGTCGCTGTAGACCTGTAGGCACTGATGTGGCACACGAAGCGACGGCATGATCCTCTTTCAGGATCAAGAGAAAAACTAAAGAAGAGGCGGAAAACTAAAGCGCATGCCAGCGCAACAGTGCAAAAGTGTACTCCCTCTGTCCTGTATTACATTGCGTTTTGGAAAATTTTAGAACATACTCATTGGTAGTTTGTAGTCACTGGCTCACTGCCTCAGATCAGTTCCTCTCTCTCTCTCCTTGCTTTGAAAGCCAAACTAGTTTATTTTAATTAATATGCACTGGGCTGATCTTGTATCATTTTGGCTGTATATATCCTTCGTGGATACAGAGGCCGGATTAATGAAAATCCATTATCTACAAAATGTACTGGTTGATCCATGACAAAATTAAAATAAGTAATTGTAAGTTGTTAAAGATAAGAAAAAAAACTATGACAAAATAGGATAAAGATAAGAACATATCTATGATCATTGAAAAAAACACAAGAGTTAAATGCACCGGTCCATTAACTTATGTGGAGTTTCAGTTAGATCCATCAACTCCAAAAGTTAATTTTCGGATCATAAACTTTTTAAGTGGTTCACCATATATCCATACCACTTCTTTTAACCCTTAGATTGAACTTCTGAGTCATAACCTTTTTAAGTGATTCACCGCAAATCCATACCCCTTCGTTTGGCCCTTAGATCTGACGTGGCAAGTGGAGTCAGCATGGCATGAAATCTGTCAAGCTCATGCTCATCCCCCGACCATGCTGCCCACCTTTCCATTCCCTCAAATGTGGCATCTGTGCCTCTGCTCTATCTCTGCTCCGGTGCTCGCCACCATCATCACCGGTCACCGAGCTTCTACTATCACTGTTGTTCCTCGCCTTATGCTGCACCTCTATCCAAATGAGCTCTATGGAGCCCGTCAATGCCTCCTCTACCCTTTGCACTCGTTAGAGACACATCAACTGTGTGGAAGGTCCCAGTAGGTCATACTACAGCTGCCATGGTCGAGCTTTGAGCTCGTGTGCGCCGATGTTCCCATCGGTACGGTGTAGGCCATCACTGCTTCAACGAGTGCGCGGTTTGAGTCCTCTATGGTCTCCTCATCCTCGTGCGCATGCATTTTTGGAAAGTCTGTGCCAGACCAACCATTTTTTCCACTATCATCTATCTTCTGCCCGTCGCCCCCCGCCGGACGGGCACGCTCGTGGCCGACCCGCTGCTAAACTCCACCGAACAGATTAAAACCGCCCTAAGGTGTATGGGTGAGTAGTGAAGCTCGAGGTCCTATCCATTGTAACCGGCAAGTGCTCCATGTCCGAATCAGCCCCTCCCCACCATACCCGTGCCTATGTAGATTTGGGGAAGAAAAAAGAGGAGTGAGATAACTCATGGGACGGGTATGGTCCCCACCGCTACGTCTCCGCAGTGCACCCCTACAACCCTATGCCTCGCGAGACCAGGCCTTCGTCATGCGCTACCGTCCCCTGTGCTCATGCCGCTTGCTAGTGCTTGCTCTCACCACCTTGCGCGCTCAGGGAACGAAGCAAAGAACGAGAAGGGAGGGAGGAGGAGGGGATAATTGCAAATTTCATGTCATGAAGGTTGTTGACTTCACATGCCACGTTAGATCTAAGGGTCAAACGAAGGGGTATGGTCCCATAGTGAATCACATAAAAAGTTTATGGACTCAGAGTTGAATCTAAGGACTAGAGGAAGAGGTATAGACGAATGGTGAATCACTTAAAAAAATTAAGGACACGGAAAACAACTTTTAGAGTTGATGGACCTAACTAAAACCTCTGCATAAGTTAATAGACCTTTAGTGCATTTAACTCAAAAAACAATATGCAGGTAGTTTCAACAACACGCATGGAAATACAATGCTAAGGGACTATTATATATTACTCCCTTCATTCTAAATTGTAGGTTGTTTTAGCTGTATCTAGAAAAGCCAAAACCATTTATGATTTGCAACTGAGGGATGGAAAGTATACAAAATAAATGGTAAGTGAAGTTTACTACAAAATTGGACAAAAAAGTATTTACATAAGTGTTGTGTTACAATATGAGCTACTGAGAGAGATATAAAAATTTAAATCATGGCCGTAATTTTTTTTATGCATGGCCTTTGAAAGTGCAT